GTCCCAGCTATTCAGAAGGCTGAGGAAGGAGAATTGCTTGAACCCGAAAGGCAGAGGTTGCAGTGAGCTGAGATCGCACCATTGCACTCCAGCCTGGGCAACAGGAGCGAAACTCCATCTCAAAAAAGAAAAAATTTAGTTATTTTCTGTGACCTACAACAATTTTACATAATCACCATAATGAAGTGATAACATGCCGGATTTTAAGGATTTACATACAATTTTGGAACACATTAATGACATGTTTACACAAATATAACTCAAAAAAAAGGCTGAACATCATTTTTCATTTGACAATGCTTCCCTTACAATTCAACATATCAATAGGCCTGCTTATGACCTCTCTTTTGGATGCGTCAGGGGCCCCTTTGAACATCCCAAAGTCAGTTTGAGGTTGAAAAGAATTTCAAATTTGAAGTTTAATTTGGGGAAGCCTGTTAAATATGTGGAAGGTTGAAAACACTTGATCAAAATAGGAAAGATTTAAAAGGTTTAAACCACTTTATCACAATAGAATCACATAAAACAATAGTCATTCATTTAGCCAAAGTTCAAAAGATTTTAAAGGCTGGGCGTGGTGGCTCATGCCTGTAATCCCAGTACTTTGGGAGCCCGAGAGGGGCGGATCACCTGAGTTCAGGAGATCAAGACCAGGCTGGCCAACATGGTGAAACCCATCTCTACTAAAAATACAAAAATTAGCCAGGTGTGGTTGGGCACCTGTAATCTCAGCTACTTGGGAGGCTGAGGCAGAGAATTGCTTGAACCTGGGAGGCAGAGGTTGCAGTGAGCAGAGATCATGCCACTGCACTCCAGCCTGGGCAACAGAATGAGACTCCCTCTCAAAAAAAAAAAAAGATTTTAAAAAGCAAAAATCTTTACTTTTTGTTAGAGAGGAGACAAATTTTCAAATAATTAAAATATCTAATAAAGACAACATAAAGAACACAGAATCCGTTTCTCTCCTTCCTTTTTGTTTTATTTTTTTTGAGATGGAGTCTCACTCTGTCACTCAGGCTGTAGTGCCATGGCACAGTCTCGGCTCACTGCAACCTCCGCATCCTAGGTTCAAGTGATTCTTGTGCCTCAGCCTACCAAGTAGCTGAGATTATAGGTGCCTGCCACTATATTTTTGTATTTTTAGTAGACACAGGGTTTTGCCGTGTTGGCCAGGCTGGTCTTGAACTCCTGATCTCAGGTGACCCACCTGCCTCAGCCTCCCAAAGTGCTGGGATTACAGGTATGAGCCACTATGCCTAGTTTACTATCTTATCTTAGTAGCACACAAAAATTTTGTTCAAAGAGAAAACCAAAATTTACCCATGTTTCAGTGTATTAATACTAAAGCTAATTTTAATAAAACCTTATAAGCAAGTTCATCTATTCTTAATTAGCTTTGACCACACAAGATTTCCATAAGCCTTTCATAACCTTAGCTGGTACAAAATTTTTTCTATTCTCTTTCTTTTCCCAACTTTCTATATTCATTCAATTTTATGTGTATCATTAAAATTTTGAAACGGAGTGGGCACGGTGGCTCACGCCTATAATCCTAGTACTTTGGGAGGCCAAAGCAGGAGGATCACTGGAGCCCAGCAGTTCAAGACTAGCCTGGCTTGTTTTGAACATGGTGAAACTCTATCTCTATGAAAAATACAAAAATTAGCCAGTTGGGGTGGGGGTGAGGGTGGGGGAAAGAATAAAAAAAAGGAAAAAAAAATTAGCCAGGAGTGGTGATGTATGCCTGCAGTCCCAGCTACTTGGGAGGCTGAGGTGGGAGGATCACTTGAGCTCGGGAGGCAGAGGTTGCAATGCGCTGAGATCATGTCATTGCACTCTAGCCTGAGTGACAGGATTAAGACCCTGTCCCAAAAAAAGAGAAAAAAAATGAAACAACTTTTAACTGCAAAACTAGACAAAATTACTTTTTTTTTTTTGAGACGGAGTTTTGCTCTTGTTGCACGGGCTGGAGTGCTGTGGCATGATCTTGGCTCATTGCAACTTCTGCCTCCCAAGTGCAATCGATTCTCCTGCCTCAGCCTCCCAAATAGCTGGGATTACAGGCGCCCACCACACACCCAGCTAATTTTTTTGTATTTTTAATAGAGATGGGGTTTCATCTTGTTGGCCAGGCTGGTCTTGAACTCCTGACCTCAAGTGATCTGCCCGCCTCGGCCTCCCAAAGTACTGGGATTACAGGCATGAGCCACCATGCCTGGCCCAAAATTACTTTTCCAAAAACAAAAACACATGTCCTTATGCCTTTGTGTTACTCTTTTCTCACCAAAAACATCTTGGGTTTTTTGTATACTTAGCATACAGGATTGTTTTCCCTTATTTCTAGTAGTTTTAATTACATATATTTAAAACAATATTATCCAATATTATTTTTATTCGCCAAAGATTACTAAAAAGTCATATGAACTTGAAAAGCATTTGGTTTTATTTACTTATGAGCATTCATTTATTTACAAGTCAATTTGGCACCGTGTAGACAATATAAAAACACAGATATGTACACATGTATGCATAAAAACACAGACAAACATAAAGCCTTTATAGATTGCTTTTTTTTTTTCTTTTGTTTTTCTTTGGTGTGAGACAGAGTTTGTGAGACAGAGTCTTCCTCTGTCGCCCAGGCTGGAGTGCAGTGGCACGATTTTGGCTTTCTGCAACCTCCACCTCCCAGGTTCAAGTGATTCTCGTGCCTCAGCCCCCCAGGTAGCTGAGACTACACGCGCCTGCTACCATGCCCAGCTAATTTTTGTATTTTTAGTAGAGACAGGGTTTCACCATGTTGGCCAGGCTGGTCTCGAACTCCTTACCTCAGTCGATCCGCCCATCTTGGCTTCCCAAAGTGGCGGGATTACAGGTGTGAGCCACTGCACCCAGCCCTATAGCTTTGATATTTAAAACTGTAGCTGGCCGGGCGTGGTGGCTCACGCCTATAATCCCAGCACTTTGGGAGGCTGAGACGGGTGGATCACGAGGTCAAGAGATCGAGACCATCCTGATCAACATGGTGAAACCCTGTCTCTACTAAAAATACAAAAATTAGCTGGGCATGGTGGCACGCACCTGTAGTCCCAGCTACTCGGGAGGCCGAGGCAGGAGAATTGCTTGAACCCAGGAGGCGGAGGTTGCGGTGAGCCGAGATTGCACCATTGCACTCCAGCCTGGGTAACAAGAGTGAAACTCCGTCTCAAAACAAAACAAAACAAACAAAACTGTAGTAATGAGACACATAACATTGACTAATTTAAAAGAACAATTGGATTCAAACTGTGTCTTGCAAATAGAACAAGTTAAAGCTTATCTGTCCAACATAAAGGAAGCCTTTACTGAGTTTTAGAGGAAAACAGGATAGCAAATTTACATCTCAAAGCCAGAAAGATAATTTAAGCTTTTTCATGGAGTTTGGATGTATTAGAGGAAGATTAAAAATGGATGCCAATGCCAGGCACGGTGGTTCACGCCTGTAATCCCACTGGGCGGATCAGTTGAAGCCAGGAGTTCAGGACTAGTCTGGGCAACGTGGTGAAACCCCATCTCTACAAAACAATTAGGCTGGGTGCAGTGGCTCACACCTGTAATCCTAGCACTTTGGGAGGCCGAGGTGGGTGGATCACAAGGTCAGGAGTTCAAGACCAGCCTGGCCAACATGGTGAAATGCTGTCTCTATTAAAGATACAAAAATTAGCCCAACGTGGTGGTGTGCTTCTGTAATCCCAGCTATTCAGGAGGCTGAGGCAGGAGAACTGCTTGAACCCAGGATGGGGAGGTTGCAGTGAGCTTAGATCATGCCACTGCACTTCAGCCTGGGAGACAAGAGCAAGACTCTGTCTCAAAAAAAAAAAAAAAAAAGACAAGAAAAGAAATTAGCTGGGTGTGGGGTGTGGTTTTATATGCTTGGGAGGCAGAAGTTGCAGTGCACTGCACTCCAGCTTGGATGAAAGAGCCAAATCCAGTCTCAAAAATAAAGTAAAATAAAAGATTCCAAAGGTAACACAGAATCACAAATTCACCATAGGATTGTATAAGGATACCAATTTTAGTCAGATAGGTAGCTTCCAATTTGTTTAGTCTTTTTCAGCTGGATGACTGAGCGGGGGTGGGGGGGTGGGGGAATGGTGGGGGTGGAGGCCACTGAGGAGCAGGACCAAGCAGGAAAAGGCAGGTACAGCTTGACTTTTTCTCCTCTGAAAAACGGGTGTAACTCAAGTATAACAGAGCCTTCCCGGGCAGCTCAGATCTGGCCTTGCCAGATAATGACACATTAAAAAACAAAACAGGCCGGGCGCGGTGGCTCAAGCCTGTAATCCCAGCACTTTGGGAGGCCGAGGCGGGTGGATCACGAGGTCAAGAGATCGAGACCATCCTGATCAACATGGTGAAACCCCGTCTCTACTAAAAATACAGAAAATTAGCTGGGCATGGTGGCGCGTGCCTGTAATCCCAGCTACTCAGGAGGCTGAGGCAGGAGAATTGCCTGAACCCAGGAGGCGGAGGTTGCGGTGAGCCGAGATCGCGCCATTGCACTCCAGCCTGGGTAACAAGAGCGAAACTCCGACTCAAAAAAAAACAAAACAAAACAAAACAAAAAGATAAATCTGTCAAAAGATTAAAGTATATTGTATTTCTTTGAAATTGGGACACATTTTCAACTGATGGGCACTTGTAATTGGTAACTCTCTTTCTTCATACCTTTCTTCCTTCCTAAAATATGATGTGTCTTTTTTTTTTTTGAGATGGAGCTTGCTCCTCTGTCACCAGGCTGGAGTGCAGTGGCACGTTCTCAGCTCACTGCAACCTCTGCCTCCTGAGTTCAAGCTATTCTCCTGCCTCAGCCTCCCAAATAGCTGGGACTACAGGTGCATACCATGACGCCTAATTTTTGTGTTATTAGTAGAGACAGGGTTTCACCATGTTGGCCAGAATGATTTAAATCTCTTGACCTCTTGATTCACCCACCTTGGCCTCCCAAAGTGTTGGGATTACAGGTGTGAGCCACTGCACACCGCCTTTTTTTTTTTTTTCTTTTTTAAGAGATGAGTCTCACTGTTTTACAGGCTGGGGTGCCTGTCTATTCACAGGCACAATCCCACTACTGATTAGCATGGAATTTTGATCTGCTGTTTCCAGCCTGGGTTCACCTTTCCTTAGACAACCTGGTGGTCCTTTGCGCCTGAGAGGTCACCATATTGAAGCCAAACTTAATGTGGTCACCCAATCAGCATAGCACACCGTATCCCAAAACTGCTGGGCTCTGTGCGAACATCCTCTCTTGGCCTCCCGAGTAACTGGCACTACAGGTGTGTACTACCATGCCCAACAATGAAGTATCTTGTCATCGATTCTATCTTACAGCCATTCCTATCTTAGATTAGATAAAATATGGCAGATTCGATCCTGAGATTTTCCTGGAGATACGGAAGAAAGAGTAAGTGATACTTCATGTACCAGAACATTGAAAAATCCTCTCCAAATATCCACTGTTTCTCTGAATCCACCTCCCCTCTGTTGTGGCCATGAACGTTTCCCCTCCTCTTAAGCCTGCCAGTCCTTGCCAGGTTCCTCCCAGCAACTCATCTTCGCCTTTACTTTCTCTTTACTCTCCTCTTCCACCCCTTAATCTGCCCACCTCCCCCAGCCTCTCAGGGTCTCCATCTCTTTATTCTAATTTAACCTTCTCTCTCTCTCTCTCTCTTCTCTTCTCCACTTCTTCTCCCCAGCGGCACCCCATCAAGTAAAATAAAGGACCCTCCAAGGAATCTACCTTCTTAGAGAATGAAGAGCAGGTAAACGATTAGACGTACTTAACGTTTAATATTTCTTGTGTTTAATGGGTAACAATACTACCTCATGAGGTTTTCATGAGGATTAAAAAAGAGAGGGAATGTAAAATACTTGGCAAGTTGCTGGCACATGTTAAGAATTCATCAATGTTAGCTGACATTATTTACTATTATGTTGTAAATGATTTTACAATCAACATTGTAGCAACACAGGGAAGAGCAAAAAAAAAAAAAAAAAAAACAAAGAAATAAGAATCACCTAGAGAATCAACACCATATATTTTTCTAGTAGCAATCATAAACATGCCACAGTGAAATTTGATTTTTGTGCTTTTCCAGTGACAGAGCATTCTTATGAATCATAGCTCATAATTGAAAATATCAAAGGGTAGAAAGAAAGTCATCATGTATTTTTAATGTATTTTAATATATAGCATTTTGAGATGTTTTTAGATCATGACAAAGAGGAAATTACTGTCATCTTCCTTTATCTATTATGAAGCTTTATTTATTTATTTTTTCTGTTTTTGAGACGGAGTTTCACTCTTGCTGCCCAGGCTAGAATGCAATGGTGCTATCTTGGCTCACTGCAACCTCTGCCTCCTGGGTTCAAGCAATTCTCCTGCCTCAGCCTCCTGAGTAGCTGGGATTACAGGTGCCTAGCTAAATTTCTTTTGTATTTTTAGTAGATATGGGGTTTCACAATGTTGGCCAGGCTAGTCTTGAACTCCTGACCTCAGGTGATTCGCCCGGCTCAGTCTCCCAAAGTGCTGGGATTCGCCCGGCTCAGTCTCCCAAAGTGCTGGCATGAGCCACCATGCTTGGCCCGAAGCTCTTTTTCTTTAGAAAACCATGCTGCAGAAGCTTCAAAACACAAAGGAACGCTGCTATCTACTATTCTGGTAAAGTATTTTAAGAGGACTGCATAAAACTAGGGTAATAATTTTTAAAATGCTTCCTTGTTTCAAGTCATGGAATGTAAGAGAGAAACTTCACAGAGTTTCAATCATAACTTGCGGTCTTGGTTGTCATTTCACATCATGTGATTGGAAGTTGAAGATGCTGCCCCAAAGGCCGATACCGGGAAACTGACCCTATGCTGTGGGCTGAATTGCATGCCACACCATCCCCCTCTAATTTACATAATTCACATGATGAAGCTCTAACTTCCAATACGGTAGTATTTTCTTTTGGAGATAATTAGGGTTAGATGAGCGCATGAGGCTGGGGCCTTCATCATGAGATTGGCATCTTTAAAAGAGACACCAGAGAGTTTGTTTTCCTATTGCAAAGAAGAGGTCATGTGAGCCCACAGCAAGATAATGGCTGCCAACGAGCCAAGAGAAGAGGCTTCAGAATGAAACCTACTTGCTGGCACCTTGATCTTGGACTTCCAGCCTCCAGAACTATGAGTACATTTCTGTTAAAACACTCTCCCCAAAATATCTAGTATTTTGTTACAGCAGCCCAAGTTGACTAATCACGTCTGGCTTCCCTTATCAAAGTCAGCAGAAAGGTTAACACAGAGCTTTCTTAGGCCAGCTTTTCCATGCAGAAGGCAGCCTCCTCAAAGTAGTGTGAACATTGGGACAATGTGATTCTTCTGTAGTTCATGAGCATCATGCCTGGGTTTTCGTGTTCCTGTGTGAGATGTGCCTCCCTCAACCTTGTTATGGCATTGGCACATTACCCATCTGATGAGAAAAAGAAAAAAGGCCAGGTGCAGTGGCTCACGCCTGTAATCCCAGCACTTTGGGAGGCTGAGGCAGGCAGAAAACCTGAGGTCCAGAGTTTGAGACCAGTCAGACCAACATGGAGAAACTCGCCTCTACTAAAAATACAAAATTAGCCAGGTGTGGTGGTACATGCCTGTAATCCCAGCTACTCAGGAGGCTGAGACAGGAGAATTGCTTGAACTCGGGAGGTGAAGTTTGTGGTGAGCCGAGATCGCACCATTGCACTCCAGGCTGGGCAACAAGAGTGAAACTCTGTCTCAAAAAAAAAAGGAAAAGAAAAAAAGCAGAAGAAAAAAATAATTAAGAGGAGAAACAGTGTGAGAAGGAAGGACATATATATAATATTGTAAAACCACTGGAAGGCTGGATGAAACTCAAAACTAGGAAGTCCTATTTTAAGAAATTGTAACATGCAGTTTAATTGTTTCTGGATTTCTTTGCCAGCTGAAATGTGGGGATGATGAACTGACACCCACTGCAGGAACATTTTGCTGCCTCAGCAAGTTTCCAGTGCCTCCTTCAATACTGATGACTGCAGTAGTTGCTGAGAGCATCTGCCAAGGTTCCCTGTCATTTTGTGACCCAGCTAAGAGCCTGTAGACTAAATGAGTGGACTAGGACACAAATTACCTGTGCCAGAAACCCTGTCTCTATTAAAAATACAAAAACTAGCTGGGTGTGGTGTCAGGTGCCTGCAATCCCAGCTACTGGGGAGGCTGAGACAGGAGAACCGCTTGAACCAGGGAGTCAGAGGTTGAAGTGAGCTGAGATTGCACCACTGTACTCCAGCCTGGTGACAGAGCAAGACTCCGTCTCAAAAATAAAATTTTTTCCTCTCTTCCTCCATTTTGCCATGTATTTGTATTGTTCTCTCAAGTGTGGTGGGAGAACATTTTGCTTCTTACTAAAAGAAATGCCTTACGTTGAGGGGAAATGGTTCTTAGTTTAGAAAAGTACCTTGCTGGCCTCTGGGGTTGTTGATAGTGAGACTCAGCTTCGGGAGAATGGACTGCATAACGAGGGTATTTGGATGTGGGACCTTTGGGAGATATTTTTGAATTGTCCTGCCTACTAAGGTGGGAAGAAGATTGAATTCCTGGAGATAGCTCTGGAAAGAGGGTCAGGGAAGAGAAGGTAGGGACTGTGGAAAGGTTCGCAGGGGTGTCTAATCTTCTGGCTTCCCTGGGCCACACTGGAAGAGGAAGAATTGCCTTGGGTCACAGGCAAAACTAACACTAATGAGAGCTGATGAGCTAAAAAAAAAAAAAAAAATTGCAAAAAAAAATCACATAATGTTTTAAGAAAGTTTATGAACATTTTTACTACTGCTTGGTTCTTGAAGGAACAAAAAAAAAGTTTATGAATTTGTGTCAGGCCGCATTCAAAGCCATCCTGGGACGTCGGATGGACAAGCTTGGTTTAGAGGAAGGAAGGTGGAGGGGCTGACTTAATGTGCAGATAGCCCGTTGTGAGGCCTGAGAAGGGAGAGCCAGCGAAACATCCAATACAGCAGGGATGCTTCTGGAGGAAGAATGCAAAAAGATGGCAGGATCAGATACAAAACAGGTCCTGACAGAGCAATAACCGTAACCTGGGCTGGGCATGGCGGTTCATGCCTGTAATCCCAACACTTTGGGAGGCTGAGGTGGGTGGATCACGAGGTTAGGAGATCAAGACCGTTCTGGCTAACTCGGTGAAACCCCGTCTCTATTAAAAATACAAAAAATTAGCCAGGTGTGGTGGCACGCGCCTGTAATTTCAAGCTACTTGGGAGGCTGAGGCAGGATAATCACTTGAACCCGGGAGGCAGAGGTTGCAGTGAGCTGAGCTTGTGCCACTTCACTCCAGCCTGAGCAACAGAGGGAGACCCCGTCTCAAAAAAACAAAACAAAACAAAAAATAAAAAAACAAAACAAAATCAAACTGTAATCTTTGGGCTTATCTTTTCTACCAGAGAGAAATCATTCTAACAGTAAATGTGAAAATGGTGGCTGTGCACTGCTGCAAAGAACCTCTCACCAAAGCTTTATAGAGATGTGCTGCACACAACTGGTTTGGGCAAGTTATGGCTCCAGGAAATCAAGAGGGTTCTGGGGTTCAGTGGTAGGACCAACAGAAGGGGGCAAGCACAGTGCAAGGCATGGGAATTCAGCGGGAATAGGAAACTGGAATGGGAGCTGGCCACCAGAACAAAACCCCAGGAATGCACAACTTGAGCTATTGAGATGCAAAGATTAACAAAAAGGGCAACTTGCTGAGGCTGAGGACTTCCCAGCCATCATCTGAGTCACTTGGAGGAGTAAGGGTGCGGTTGTACTCTTGGGTGCTGGAAGAGATCAAGTCCCATCCAGGTAGGAGATGGGGATGGGGGGAGGGAGTTGGGGGGGGCAACAGGGAGGTCCAGAAGAGGGAGGACATGCCCACAACTATCCTCAATAGTCCTGCCCATCCTCTGGGGAAAAATCAAATCCCATATTTCAAAATGGCTTCAAAGCAGATTCCGATCTGCTTTGTGGTCTAACTTTAGAGATATCTGAGGGTGTGAGTGGGCAGCTGGATGGATGAGATGGTTGTTTTTATACTTTTAAAAATTCTTCTGTTTATTCCCATTCTTTCATATTTGGCAAAGTCATTTTGAAAGCCTGCTACAACTGTGCTAAGGATGTCAAATATAATTTTCAAATAGTTAAGAATGTGGCATAAGTGAGCCCTTGTCAAAGATGTGTTTAGCTCACTAATGAGGGCACCAGCAAGATGTCAACACCAGTTCAAAGGTAATATGTGGTTGGTGAAAAGAAGAATGAGGAAAGATGGCAGAGTCAGATACAAAACAGGTCCTGACAGAGCAATAATTGTAACCTGGGTGGGTGCGGTGGCTCATGCCTCTAATCCCAACACTTTGGGAGGCAGAGGCAGGCAGATCACGAGGTCAGGAGGTCGAGACCATCCTGGCTAATGCATTGAAACCCTGTCTCTATTAAAAATACAAAAAATTAACCTGGTGTGGTGGCACATGCCTGTAATTTCAGCTACTTGGGAGGCTGAGGCAGGAGAATCGCTTGAACCGGGGAGGCAGAGGTTGCAGTGAGCCGAGATCGCACCACTGCACTCCAGCCTGGGTGACAGAGGGAGACCCTGTCTCAAAAAACAAAACAAGAAAACTATAACCTTTGGGCTATTTTCTACCAGTGAGAAAGCATTTACCTCTCCACTGGGGGAAAAAAAGTCATTTGCAAAACTTATCCATATTTTATACATTAAATCTCACTTTCCAGAACCCAGCTTGATCAACTGTAAATAGTAAGTCAAGAGGCTGGGCACAGTGACTCACTCTTGTAATCCTAAAACTTTGGGAGGCCAAGGTGAGAGGATCACTTGAGCCCAGGGATTCAAGGCTGCAGTGAGCTATGATTTCGCCACTGCACTTCAGCTTGGGTGACAAAGCAAGACCCTGTCTCTATTTAAAAAAATAATAAGTAGGTCAAATGAAGTTATATCCTTTAGAAAGATGAGTCTTAGGAGGGCTGTTATGCAATAGTCAGAGGCTTTGAAAGGGCATGTGGTAATCCTTGTTCTGAATTTCCAAATTTTGGATGATTTTTCTTTCTTCTATTTTTTTTTTTTGAGACAGAGTTTAGCTCTGTCACCCAGGCTGGAGTGCAATGGCATGATCTCCACTCACTGCAACCTGCATCTCCTGGGTTCAAGCGATTCTTCTGCTTCAGCCTCTTGAGTAGCTGGGATTACAGGTATGCGCCATCACACCCGGCTACTTTTGTATTTTTAGTAGAGACGAGTTTCACCATGTTGGCCAGGATGGTGTCTATCTCTTGACCTTGTGATCCACCCACCTCAGCCTCCCAGAGTGCTGGGATTACAGGCGTGAGCCACCACACCCAGCCTGGATGATTTTTCTTAAGGGAAAGCAAGAGACTAGATTATTGTTCTCACTTAAGTCACAGAACTAAAGGGGAGCAGCAGAGTCTTGAAGCTACCATGAAGGGGTAGAAGTAATAAAGGGAAAGGGAGATGGTTGAAACTCAAGGAATAAAAAGACCACCTGCTCATTCCTCCCCTCCTGGGGAGTCTTCTTTTACTTCTAAAACCGATTTTTCTGCTATTGATCTAATAAAGGGACTTCTGGTCTCGTATTCATCAATATCTTCTGTGCTACCATTTGGGGACCCTTGAGTTTGCACTGGAGTCAAAACATTATAGGGAACCAGGCACTGCCCTATCCACTAGGAGTGAGAGAGTTAAATGTTAAAACCTCTCTGGGACAATTTTGCAATATCTAGCAACATTTTTTATAATTGTGGTAAATTTATATATAACTTAAAATTTACTATTTTAACCATTTTAAGCATATGGTTCAATAGTATCATGCACATTCACACTGTTGTGCTATTAGTACCATCATCCATCTCTAGAACTTTTCCATCTTCCCGATTCTCCCTGCAACCATTGGCAGTCACCATTCTACTTTGTCTCTATGAATTTTAACTGTTGTATTCGTGTAAGTGGAAATGTACAATATTTGTCTTTTTGTATCTGGCTTATTTCACTTGGTATAATGTCTTCAGTCTGTCCATGTTGTTACATGTGTCAGAATTTCATTTCTTTTTTATTTTATTTATTTGTTTATTTTAAGATGGCATTTCACCATGTTGGTCAGGCTGGTCTCAAACACCCGACCTCAAGTGATCTGCCCACCTCAGCCTTCCAAAGTGCTGAGATTACAGGTGTGAGCCACCTTGCCTGGCCAATTTCATTTCTTTTTAAGGCTGAATATTTCCTTTTATGCATACACCACATTTTGTTTATCCATTTGATATGGTTTGGCTGTGTCCCTACCCAAATCATGTCTTGAATTGTAGCTCCCATAATTCCCATGTGTTGTCAGAGGGACCCAGTGGGAGGTAATTGACTCATGCGGGTGGGTTTTTTCCATGCTGTTCTTGTGATAGTGAATAATGGTTTTTTTTTTTTTTTTTGAGATGGAGTTTC